TCCCCACCATCAGGGGCCCTGGTGAAGGGCAGCCTGGGACTTAGACTCCGCGCCCTGAGGGACTTTGGTCTGTGGGTCGTGGTTGTCGTCAGCCAGTGCGTTACATTGGTAGGCCTGCCTGTCCGTTCCTCAGCTCCTGCCCTGACAGTTGCGGAAGTGGAGCCTGCATGAGTTTGCCAGCGATTGGACATGGGGTTGAAAGGACAGATTTGAGTCTAGAGTGACACCTAGGACTTTGGCTTGCGGGGTGGGGCTGATGGTGGCGTTGTTGGTCGTGATGGAGAGGGTGGGGGTAGGGGCGCGGGCTGGGGGAAAAATCAGGAGCTCGGTTTTGGAAACGTTTAATTTGAGGAAGTGGAGTGACAATATCTTTGTTGTTTTACATCCTTTTCCCAAGATGATTGGGTATCCTTTTTACCTTTGGCTGAGTTTGTGTATAACAACTTTACACATTCTGCAACCCAACAATCTCCATTTTTTGCAAACTATGGCTATCACACATCATTCCTAACCAATGACTTTCTGGAATCTTCTGTACCTGCTGTCCAGAATACTTTGAACTTTTTTCAGCAAAACAATAAACTCTTACAAGACACAATAGCCAAAGTACAGGAAGACAGTGAAACAGTTTTTGACAGGATATGAAGAGGTGAATTGATCCTACAAACCAGAGAACAGGTTTGGCTATCCACCGCAAATCTGAAGCTGGCTTGTCCCACTAAGAAGTTGGGTTCTAGATTTGTGGGGCCTTTTCCATTTAAGAGAAAGATAAATGATGTGTCTTATGAGCTGTCTTTGCCTGATTCTTTCAGAATTCTTCTGGTATACCTCCACGTGTCTCTGTTAATACCCAGGATCTCAGATCCCTTTACGGGTAGCAGCACTGGTCCACCAGAACCTATGAATATTGATGAAGAAGAAGAATATGAAGTGGAATCCATCATGGACTGCAGGAAGAGAAGGAATCAGTTACATTTCCTGATAATATGGAAAGGGTACGGAGTTGAAGAAAAGTCTTGGGTACTGGAGACTAACATACATGCCAAAGAACTGATCCAATCAATTTTCCATAGGCATCCTAATAAACAGGCTCAATTGGGTATCTGGAGGCTGCCCATAAGGAGTGGGCAATGCCAGGAAAGGAATCCCCATGTGCGCAGGCGCATGAATGTAAGGAACTCTGCCCGTGGCCGAACTGCTAGTGTGCGATCATGTGCGTGAACTGGTGAGTGAGCGGGAGCTTGCGCATGTGCCAACATGAATTCGCATTGGCGCCACAGGGACTATTTAAACTGCACTATTGCATCCCGTCAGTGCTCTTCTGTGATTGAGCCGGTCTGCCCCTGATTCTGCTCTGATGCCACCTGTACCAAATCTTGCCCTGTCTTTGGATTACGTCTCTGCCTGGTTCTCCCATCATATACTGTCTGCTTTTACTGACCCTGGCTTGATTCCTGACTTCCTTCCTGCCTTCCGCTTGTACCTCATCTGCTGGCTAGTTGTCGACCCGGACCGTCTGACCCTGCTGTGTGTCTGTTCTTCAGCTGCCTCTGCCATCCTGTGTCAGCTCATCTGCCAGCCTATCCGGTCCTGGGGTTCTGCTCTTCCGATTACTCCTTAGCATCAACCAGCGAGAGACTATCAGGCACTCATGCCAGCCCTTGCACTGCCATTCCCTGTCACCTTACCAGGGCCTCCTGAACCGGGGCTGAAAGACAGGTCTTCCCCCGCACTTCAGGCTCCTCCATTAGGTACGTTACAACTTCGGAACTCTTAGGCGTAGATTTCCTTATGATACGGGGTTACCTTCTCCAAACTTTAATGTTTGTTTCCTTATATTCTGCTCCAAGTATTAAATCTCATGTTGCTAACTACTGGAATAGTTACATTTGTTAGCACTTAATTTGTTATGAGAGTGTTTAGTAATGTAATCAGATTGTCTTGTATGTTGATTGTACACTGCCTTATATTTTTTTCCAATAAAAATATTGAACAACCAAACTTTCTGGCTTGCACCCTCAGTTTTTATCATCTGAAAAGTTGTAATTGGCTGTCGAAAGCCCTATACTAATGACCAGATAATTGAACGATCGTTCGTCGTATAGAAATTTTTGGATGATTTTCTTATCATGTGTACAAGCAATGAGGATGTTTGATTAGAGTATAGGCATCCATGCAGTTTGCTTCTCAACAATGCCTGGTAGCAGCAACAGTATTTTGCCCAATGTCCTTTAGAAGTTCATCTGGCCGTGATACAATGACATTAAACAGATTTGCCCATATGTGTGTACTGTAAAAACTGTAAGGTGAAGAGATTTGGAAACAAAGATTAACTTGATATACAGTATGTTGACCATTTATAACAAAATTTAAATAAGTAAATATCAGTCAGCAACTGAAGGCCTCTTCAAAATACAGTACATTCAATTTTTTTTAAGTTATAATGACAGGTAACAGCCATTATTTCTAATTTTAGCCATTGTTTTTCATTTTATAGACTCCAGAATGACTGGTTTGGTACCAATGGATTGGTACAAGGCCAATGTGGTGCCTATACTGTATATTAAAAGGGAACAAGGTCTTCACCCAGTATCTACAGGCCTGTAAGTTTAACTTATGTAGTAGTGAAAACATTTTAAGGGGTTTGCTAAAAGACCACCTACTAGAGAGTATGTGCTGAAAAAAACTATGCCATAGGCAAACTTTAGTGTGGATTCAAAAAAGATCAAGGTTGCAAACAAATCTCCTTTCTTTTTATGAGTAATTAAGCAAAAATTTAGACTAAGGGGTGGCTATGGATGAACTTTACTAAAGCATTTAATACAGTTTCCTACAGGCACCTAATGTGTAAGTTAAGATCTATAGGCTTAGCAAATTTGGTCTATACATAGATACTTCCACAAAAAAAGCCATACCTGTCATAGAGGACTGTCAGTATTAACCTTTCCTTCTGCCCTTACCTTCAGAATGCTGCTGTGTTCATGAAACCAGTACTTCCAGAAGTGTTGATCTCCTGTGTCCTCCGAAGCTCTCACTAATTCCACTTGCTGACTCACCCATTACAAGATTGAGTAGTGAAGTAGAGGTGAACAGGAGCAACCACTGAGTGCAGAGGGAAACACAGAAGATCAACATGCCTTGAAGTATACTTTCCAATAAAATTTGTTTTCAATGGAGCAGTGTTCTGGCAGTGGGGGCAGTGGGAAAAGTAAGCAATGGCAGTGCCCCTCTAAAGGTATGGTTGCTTTAGGGATTTAGATGTAATGTACTTTTACAGACTGCACTCAGGCACTATTGATTAATTATTCATACCCTAAATTATCTAAAGTTGTTAGTGGTGTGCCCCAAGGGATCATTACTTTTACTTGTTGATAAAGGATACTGGGTTTTGGAGCAGTAAAGTGTTGTACACTGTTAGTAATGGGTAGTAGTAGTAGAAGCATAATAATGTATGCAATACATTTTGCGGTGCACACTTTCAATAACACTAGCTTGTTACTTCAGGCATGGTTTCATCAAGAGTTTGGGAGAAAGAGTACATTTTCTGTGTTTGCAGACGACACAAAACCATGTAGTAAAATAAATCCTCTACAAGATTTTGGCTTACAAGGTGACCTGAATTCACTATTTGGTTGTGCAACTACATAGCTCATGAGGTTTATTAGGTGTGATAGGGGTTGATAGATGTAAAACGATGTAATTTGGTGGCTAAAAGAAAAATATGTATGCATCATATAATCTCGAAGAATTACAATAATATCCATGCAATGCCAACCTGCATGGTAAGCAAGATACTTTCTTCTATTAAAAAAATTATATAGACTTTATGAGATCTCATCCTGAAAATGTATTTCAGTCCTGGAAAGGAGGGAGTGCAAAGAAGGGCAGCTAAATTAGTAAGGGATATGGAGGACCTTAGCTATGATACAAATATTTATTTTCCATGGAGCAAAGGTGATTGTGTGGGATTCATCATATAATTTAGTGGAATTACAATAATATCCATGCAATGCCAATCTGCAGCTTCTAGAGTGAGCAAGATACTTTCTTGTATAAAAAAAATTATATAAACTTTTTGGAGATCTCATCCTGAAAATGCATTTCAATTCTGGAACGGGAGTACAAAGAAGGGCAGCTAAATTAGTAAAGTGTATGGAGGACCTTAGCTATGATGTGCATATATTTTCCATTGAGCTAAGGTGATTGGGTGGGATATGACACCTTGCATAAATATATAGATGGTCCATATAGTTATTTTTGTGTAAATGTTCAGATATACCAAAATTACTGCGTGCTTGATTTTGTCTACCCCATACAGAAAATAATTAGCCTGCCAGCACCCAAAAATGGTTTCACACCTCTAACAAATGAAACAACCAAATATGATGCAGCAATAATAAAAAATAACTTAATGTGAAATGAAAATATAGCCCTCAAACTATTCAATTAAGAGGTCATACATCACGTAATCAATATCATAAGGAGTTAAAACTCCAGACCAATGTTACATCCAACAATTGTACCCACTGTGGCTTCTATGGTATCTTCCTCATTAGGTACAGTAGAGGTCAAAGAGAAAACAGGCAAGCCATAGTCTTTTCTGCTATAATTGTTTCACTTGCCCACTCACATTGAAAATGAAGGAAACCACAGTAAAACAACACCTAGGAAAGAAATGTTTACTTTCAGGTAATTGTAAATGACAAGTGGGTGCATTCTTAAAAAGTTTAACCTCTGCATATAGAAAAGGCTTCTAAGAAGGATGGGAATTTCTACATTTACTCTCCATCCCTTCCCCCAACAGACCTAAAGAGAGATGAGCACTTTTAAATTGTTTAAAAACATATTTAAGCTAGGATTACTCTTTGAACATGTGAACTTTTTGTAACGTACAAGTCAATATTCGACCATACATACTGTGATGACCAAAAATTGCACATGCTAACATATTTTGACAAGCATACAAAAATGTTTGATTTTACGATTATATTCCATTACAGGGTGCTGAAAAAATACTGTCAATGAATGAATCTGGAGAACTTCAAGATCTCCTAATGAAGATTGAGGTGAAACGATCCTTCCAAAAAAAATCTTTGTATTGATTGTTGCATGAAAACTAATGTATGTGAAGGAAATACACATGTACTGATTTGATGTAGATTTAGATATGTAGCCAGCCCCCCCCCCCCCATACTCCCAGTGGGAAAGAGAACCCTCAGCACTAAGGTAAGCTACAAATCCCCCAAAGTGAATCTATGGCTGAATTGGAGGAGTTAAATAATAATTGGGCATCGGTCAGTTTTCTGATAGAATTCTCTCTTGATTCACATGGAGAGAGGCTTAGGGCTCCAGATACCTTCGGCAGCATTTCTAGAATCTGATCCCACTCTTGCTGTCACATGCATAAAAAGAAAAAGGGACCACACTGTAATGCAAAAAAGGGCCATATGGCAAACATTAGCAGCACTGTATTTAGAACTTCACAACTAGGCATTAGGTGCCTCCATGCTTCTCCAAGGGAGTACTATGTTTACTTGATGGTCCGACTTGTTCCCCTATAGCAGGATATCTTCTGGCTCTTCACCTTGGGTGCTGTGTCCCCCTTAACCAGGCAGGACAGACTTCTGGCCTAGCCAGCATATCCCATTGCATATACATCCCCAGGCCAAAGCTTGGGGAGAAAACAACCTCTCACTCAGCTAACCCCTAAATATGTATGCCCTCCCCAGCATGCACCCCTGGCAAAAACACTTTCTAGTGTTTGGTCAGGGGGACAAAGATATATCATGACCAAACATTGCTGCAGTTCTCCTATATATTTTGAAAGGTCTCAGTGAAACATACTGACAGCAGTCTGGAATATCAGCAACATTGAGTTTAAGGGAAAATCAAGTGAGATGCAACAAAATAGCTTAGGCAGAATACCACCTGGCAGAACTACAATTGTCCACCCACCTCTGCTCAGAGCAAGGTGGCTACAGTCAGACACTTCCAAATACAGGTTTCAGAATTTCATGAGGTGGTCAGCAGAGCAAGCAGATCATATGAAACATGAGCACTCCTCTTCTCCTTTGCCTGCCAGAATTTTGTGCTAGTCTATGAATTTTAAGATTTTATGTCTAAAATTCCCTCATTCCACTGAAATGTGAATAAAGATTTTTTTTATCATTTTGATGGGTTTATTTTTTTTCTAATTTTTCATTTATAAAAACATAAATCTAGATGATAGAGATGTAATTCCTGTTTTTTTAGGAAACAGTCACAATATTATATCCGTTAACCCTAAAATTCTTTTTGTGACCATACTGCATAGCAATAGGTGAGCATTACACCACATCCAAGACCATGTAGAAATCACAGTTGAAAAGATTTTCATCTGCAAAACAAAATGTCATTCATAGATTTTAAACCTGATCGGTTTCTGTGATACAGAAAAGACTATCTACAGTAAGACAGTTCATCCCCTCCAAAAAAGTAATAAGCAGGGCATCTGTGTGGCAATTGTGTAGTATGGCCATGGGGTTAACGTGGTAAACATGTGGTGGCTGCAATAGTTTACTTTTTATCAGTCTTTTCTCTTTTTATTTTCACCTTGTGATCCTGCCAGCAACACACTCACACCTGTCCTAAGGTGATAACACTCACTCAGTGCTGGTTCACATATGTGCGGATGGGATGTGGTTTGAATTGCTTCCAAACTGCATGACATGTGAAATAACATTGCTATATGTCCAATGCACTGGCGGTGTGGATTCAGTGTGGTTTTGAAAAAGGGTCATGCACAATTTCTGAGCAGTGTGGTCTGGTTCATGTGTGGATTACAGCTTATTGACAAAATCCTGAGCTAATCCAGTCCTGAACCTGATGTAAACCTGACATGAACCGCTGAGCAACTATTGTATCAATTAGCTGTGGAACCTGAGCTTCAATCCGCACCACATATATGTGAATCAGCTCTCAATGTAATGTGTCTATGAATTGTTGTCATACTAGGCTGCTCTTTCGTCTTCCTCTCTTTCATCTTAATCTCTTTTATTTTCAAATGTCCTCTCTTATTTCAAACTTCTTCTCTTAATCTTTTTTACATGGGGAGCAGGGGAATTTTATTAACTAATTATAGTAATTGTATTAGTTTACAGAAAATACTTTGGATTAAAGATCCAAAATTTAAAAACTGAATGGTTGGCTGTAGGATGATTTAACTGTTACAAAAGATTGGATATAATAGAAAAAACAGTGGAAATACCACAAGCCTAAGTTTAATCATCTGAAAGCCAACAGCTCAGTTTTTGGTAGATGCTTAGAACTTCCTGTGAATTGAATTAAAATATAAATTAATGATCTCTTCCACTCAAACTATCTTCTGTCCTTCAGTATCTATATTTCATAGCTTGGATGGAAGACATCTTCACTTGAGGTTTCAATTCAGCTGATGGGAATTTACAAGCATCTACTGAAAACTGAACTTTTGGCTTTAGGATGACTAAGCTTTTGTTATTTCCATTATTTTCTCTATTACATCCAGTCTTTTTTTTAATGCCCCCTCTGGTTCAGTGTTGACAGTACATCTCCAATAAGCTTTTACTGACTATAAGTACAAAGACCCAGGAATAGTGATACTGTTCTGACACATAGCAATGACTGTCAGGGTAAACATTGGAGGTGTTGTTTGCCTGATGTTCAGCAATTATATTTTTTGACAAATCTGTTGGGGGGTATACTTTAGTGGATACTTAAATAAAACAGGGTACAACTGGCCATGTAATGTAGTGTGAGCACAGTGGCTGGTACGTTTAAGAATGTTGGATTCAGTAGCGTAGATAATCATAGTGATGGCACAGTACATGAAAATAAGATAGAATGACTTAGTGGTGATATGGTAGATAATGTAACTTTGGGTGCTATGTTGATTATTCCATGGTATAGCACACTGTTTAGGGGAGGGGACAGGGCTAAGAAATCATTTAAATCATGTTCAGGTCCTATTTTATGGAAAAGATCATGCATCTTTTGACACCATACACATACAAAGCAAATTAGCTTTGAGAAGTTTATAGCTTTTCCTTTTCTAGTTTTGTTTACTGATCATTCTGAAAAGCAGCAATCAAAATTTATTACTCCACTGGTTAAAGCTTTATAGTCATCCATAAAGTATTTGTAGTGTTCAGTTCAGATAAACATTCACACATTATGTTATTTACGGTTATGAATTATCCATGTCATCTGATGGCTTGTTATCCATGGCATGTTGATTTCAGGTTACGTAACACTTCTGGTACAACAAGTTGACATAATGGCTTGCTGTCCTGCATTATTGTTTGTTCTAGTTGCTCTTCAGAGAATCGTTAGCAATGATGGAGGCACATGCACAATTGTGAAGACGTTAACGTTAACAATTGGATATATGCCACATGAGCAATTTTGCTGGTCCATGAATTGCCTTCAAGAACAAACAGTACTTCAGAAGGGAAATATGCAGCTGTTTTACAGTAAGATCTCCTAAACATCTGCAGATTACAGTATAAAACCTGACCTACAAAATAAGTTATTGAGATCAGTTCAATTGAACTGTACTGGGGCTCAAGATTTGGCTACTGTCCTGCTCACTGGGCCTCACCTGCTGTTGGCTGTGAGCTCTATGGCAAATAGAAATAAATGTGAATGGATAAGCAATGGCTAAATGGCTAACATGGAAAATACTGCCCTGCAGACAGACTCAGGAGGGTAGTTGCAATTTGTGGTTGCTCAGTAACACAGTTTAGAGTCATCAATGTAGCTGATAATTTGCAAGTTGTGCACTGTATAAAAACAAGCAATCCACCGATAACATGTCACCGAATCTGAACAATCCATAGCAGATTTGGCCGTTAAGGATGTCCAAATAAAGGAAATAGGAATATCCATAGTGTGTGTGTGTGAGTGTGTGTTGTGGTTGGGGGGGGGGGGGGGGGGGGGATAGGAAAGAAGTCATATGGGAACCAATAAGAGGTGATGTAGCTCTCATATAAGCACATTTTGCATTTAGTATCCTTATATCCCTATCTGACTTAAAATGGAGGGTCGCCCCATTAAAAATGCTCGTATAGCTAGCCCGACAGCATAATCTAATAATGAGTTTTCTTGTTTTTCTTGCAGAGAGTTCAGCACCCCCATGCATGTGCCTCCTGTGGGGGTTTTGGCTTTGTCCCTTGTCTAGTGTGCCATGGAAGCAAGATGTCAGTGTTCCGGAACTGCTTCACGGACTCTTTTAAAGCTTTAAAGTGTACGGCCTGCAATGAGAATGGCCTACAGCGCTGTAAAAGGTGTACTGTATAAGACAAGCAAAGCTTCTTTGTAGCCTCGTTTTGCAATTGATCATTTCTTGCACATTTTTTAAGGTGACATTTGCATCAATAAAGTGAATTTCTACATACCTTGACCTCTTTTGATTTTAGTTTATTAAAATGTTTTTATTGTAGGATGCAGTGCTGGCTAATAGAAAGGTAAAACACAATTCATATTAGCTATATTGATGCCTACATTCCGTGTTGCAGGCAGTAAACCGTCACAATACGTGTTCATACTGAATAAAAGAAAGCTTATATTCTGAGAAGTAGGCTATGTAACGTTCAAGCTTTCCTAGGCATAAATGAAAGCTGAACCTTATCTAAAGACTCCACCCCTTTTTACCAACTGAATTACCATGATTACTGAGAAGACAAAAAAAATCAATGAACCATTGCAGTATGTGCAGAAATACTATCCACCATGCCTTTTCTGGCAGTTTCTGTTTACATGTAACAATCAGTTTTTCTGCTATAAAATTTCTTACAACCCCCAAATATTATATATTTTTTAAAGCAGAGGCCCCAGAGAATGAATTGGAGGGTTTTGCATTTTTTTTTTATGACACATGGAATATTCACAGCGGTTTTTCACATGCAATTTTTTGGGAAACACTTTTTTAAAATTTTAATGTAAAAAAAAAACCAATACATAACCCAGCTTTTTGTAACATATAAAAGATGGTGTTATGCCTAGTAAATAGATACCAAACTTGTCACACGTTAAAGTTGCGCACGCCCATGCAACTGCAACAAAAGATGTAAATTTTACTATCCATAGGCGATGCTTTAAAAGATTTTACAGATTACCAATTTAGATTTACAGAGGAGGTCTGGTGCTAGGATTACTGCCCATGATCTGATATTCTGATGTTCACGGTAATACCTAACATATATGGGATGATCTCTGTTTGCATGCATGTGGGACCAACGTGTATTTTCGCCTTTGCTCGCAAACACGGGGAGATGGATAATTTTTTTTTTACACTGTTGCCTTAAAAAAAATTTCAAAAAAATTATTGCTGTCACAAAGAATGTAAACATCCCTTGTAACAGCAGTACTGTAGGTCTGTGACAGGTACTCTTTATGGAGAGACCTGGGGTCAGTAAGACCCCAAATCCCTCCTCTGCCCTTAAAAACATTCAATCACACCAAGATCTGTATGATTAAATGCTTATTTTTTTTTTTAAATGGTGCCGTATATTTCCAAGCAAACCGGAAGTGATGCTCGATCATCACTTCCAGGTTACTATTAAATGGAGCAAAACAAAGCTGATCTGGTTTTTGTTGTTTGTGACCAGCCGGCAGTAGTTCAATTACGACTCTCATTAAAGAGATCCTGTTAAAGTCGCGGAAGGTGGCGAAGAGGGGGGGATGTCCCCTCCCGCTGCTTTAATAGTAATTGAGCGGCTACTTAGCCGCTCTAATTGCTTTTACAAGAAAGCTGATGGCTCTAAAAAATGGTGCTGGGATGATATCTACAGCTGCAAGCATTATCCTGGTACAACCACTTGACCTCCAGTGACGTGCCAGGTACGTGACTGGTTGGCAAGTGGCTATTTAACTGTACAGTCCACCAGAAAAAGCCAAGCTAGAAGACTCCATGTACAATGGCTTAAAAAAAATGCCAGTGCTCTTGGCAGAAAAAATACTAATTTTGAGCATTTTTGTACTAGCATTTGAGAGCATTTAATATTTTTTCTGCCAGAAAAATGCTCTAAAAATGCAAAACAGAAAGATTTTTTTTTTCTGCCTCTAAATGCTGAGCTTAAAATATGCCTCTGGACTACCTAATGTGCATGGACACATAAGATAACATTAGTTGCATCTACTGGCAAAAAGCTAAAAACCTTTAAAAGCAGAGTTTTTTTTAAGCCAGTGTGCATGCAGCCTAAATGAGAAGATGAAAGCATTTTATTAGAGCGATCCATTCACCTCCACTGCAAGATTTACACAGAAGTTTACAGGCAAGGCAAAAATAAACCAAAATGTAAAATCAAACCATGAATATTATGTTAGGATGCCCTCTGAGAATGCTATCTAGTCATCGGTGCCCTGTGATACACTGTAGGTCCAGTTGTGTCATTACTTGTCAGTCTCCTTGCCCTCAGTCACTCTCTCAATATCTTGTCAGTATATGACACTGTACACAAAGTAAAACAAGGGGCTGGAAAGGGGGATGTTGAGTGTACTGCAGATAAATACGTGACAGGGACTCAAGCCAATAGAGAATTGTTGACATGTTTTTCCTATTTAATTTTAACTAATATAATAGTTATTTCCACAATAAACATTTATGTAACTCATGATAAATGTAAATAAACATAATAAACGTTTATATTTTAATTTCTGTTTATTGTAGACAATAGAACTGTGCCTGTTTCAGAACAGGCAAGGTCACATAGCTACATAGTCAGGTTGAAAAAAGACACAAGTCCATTTAGTTCAACCAATGGAAAAAAGAAAAAGAAAATAGAAAGCCTCCATATAAAGAACCTTAATCCCACAGTTGATCCAGAGGAAGGCAAAAACTCCACAAGCAAGTTCCAATTGGGGAAAAGTTTCCTTCCTGATCCCCTGATGGCAATCAGATATTTCTTGGATCAATCTCTGATGTTATTACATATAAATGTTAGTATCCAGTTATATTTTGTGCATTTAGGAATGCACCCAGCTCTTTTTTAAAAATTATTTCCATAGCTGACCAAATCGACTTCTTGAGATAGTATTTTACACATTTTTACAGCCTTTCAAAATAATAAATGCACATTTGTTTGCAGGTAAAAAAGGTAAAAACGGGTAGAACATGTAACATCTTCCCAAAGGTGAACTTATCCTTTAAATCTCTTTTCCTACAGACATAAAGAGATCCCCCCTTGTTTATTGTAATGACCTTAAAGTGATTATTTGTTCACTATATGAACCATTTATGTATTTGTGATGATTATATTCCCCCTTAATCAACACTTTTTTATTCTTTAATCTTTCCCCATAACTGAGCTCCTCCAAGTCTCTTATCAGTTTGGTTGCCCTTCTCTGTACTTTTTCCAGTTCCCCAATTTCCTTTTTGTGAACTGGTGCCAAAAACTGAACTGCATATTCCAGACAAGGTATTACTAATGATTTGTACAGAGGCAGATTATGTCTATCTGCCTCTGTAGTCTATACATCTTTAATTATGAAGTATTTTGCTAGATTTGGAAATTGTATGTTGACGTTGCATGTTATTATTAAGTCTATGATCCACCAGAACACCCAGATCCTTCTCAACTATTGACTCAACCAGTTGTTTTCCTCTAGAATGTATAATGCATGCAGGGTTTAACCTCCAACTGCGCACCTCTACATTTATCAACACTAGCTCTTATTTGCCACATAGCTGCCCAAATAATGCATTAAGGCTTGCTTGTAAGTTGGAGACATCATGTAAGGACATTATAGCTTCATAGCTTGGTGCCATCTGCAAACACAGAAATTATACAGAAAATAAACATCCCAATATATTCAGCAAAGAGACATCAGTCCAGCAAAGAGACATCCCCATATATTCAGCGGAGAGACATCATAATCCAGCAAAGATACATCCCCATATATTCAGCAAAGTGACAGTCCAATCCAGCAAAGAGACATCCTCATGTATTCCACAAAGAGACATCCCCGTATATTCAGCAAAGAAATAACCCAATCCAGCAAAGAGACATCCCCATATATTCAACAAAGAGGCAGTCCAATCCAGAAAAGAGATATCCCCATATATTCAGGGAAGAGACATCCTAATCCAGCAAAGAGACATCCCCATAGATTTAACAAAGAGACAATCCAATCCAGCAAAGAGACATCCTCATTTATTATGCAAAGAGACATCCCCATATTATCAGCAAAGAGATAACCCAATCCAGCAAAGAGACATCCCTATATATTCAATAAAGAGACATCGCCATATATTCAGCAAAGAGATATCCCAATCCAGCAAAGAGACATCCTTATATAGTCAGCAAAGAGACGGCCCATTTCAGGAAAGAGACATCCCTATATATTAAAAAAAGAAAGATCCTCATATATTCAGCAAATAGATATCCCAATCCAGCAAAGAGACATCCTTATACAGTATAGTCAGCAAAGAGACAGCCTATTCCAGCAAATATATCACCATATTTTCAGCAAAGAGACAGTCAAATCTAGCAAAGAGAGGGCCCAATCCAACAGAGACATCCCAATTCAGGAAAGAGACCTCCCCATATAGCAAAGAGACAGACCAATTCAGCAAAGATACATCCCCATATAGCAAAGAGACATCAAAATCCAGCAAAAAGACATCTCCATATATTCAGCAAAGAGACTTTCTCAGATATTCAGCAAAGAGACATCCCCATATATTCAGAAAAAAGACAGCCTGATCCACCAAAGAGACATCCCCATATATTCAGCAGACAGTCCAATCCAGCAAAGATACATCCCCATATATTCAGCAAAGAGACATTCCCATATATTCAGCCAAGAGATATCCCAATGCAGCATGATATACCCCCATGTATTCAGCAAAGATACAGTCCAATCCAGCAAAGAAATATCCCATATGTTCAGCAAAGAGACATCCCCATATATTCAGAAAAAAGACAGCCTGATCCACCAAAGAGACATCCCCATATATTCAGCAGACAGTCCAATCCAGCAAAGATACATCCCCATATATTCAGCAAAGAGACATTCCCATATATTCAGCCAAGAGATATCCCAATGCAGCATGATATACCCCCATGTATTCAGCAAAGATACAGTCCAATCCAGCAAAGAAATATCGCCATATGTTCAGCAAAGAGACATCCCCATATATTCAGCAAAGAGATGATCCATTACAGCAGAGATATTCCCATATATTCAGCAAAGAGACATCCCCAATCCAGCAAAGAGACACAGTCCAATCCAGCAAAGAGATGGGCCAATCCAGCAGAGATGGCCCAATCTAGTAAAGAGACTTCCCCATCCAGCAA